TCAATTATGTTCTTCTCTACTTTAGGATAAACATATTCACCCTGATTGAGTCCAGATTTTTGAAGGCTGTGACCTTGAAAACCTCCTTAATAAATTCAAGCTCATCTCAATTCATTCCAGGACAACGCAATTCATAATGTAATAGTTCCAAAGTGCAAAAAGAGAGAATACTACAGGGACAGAAGGGGCCCTGTTAAAACAAAGCAGCACAAAGGATCGTGTTTAAATAAATACAGAACCTGCCAATTTTGGTCTTTTCAACTCAAACATTCAGTCCCTCATACAAAAGTCTTGAGATTTTTCTTCTTTGTGTAACTGATGACTTTCCTAAAAGCCTCTCATCTTCCTGTGTCATCTGTTTCAAATATAATCCCTGTGAAATAAGCCATCAAAGATCATAACCAAATGCAGGAAGTAAGGAAGTTGCTTGGAACTTGAGGATAATAAATCAGTACATGCTTCAGCCTAGAGGTATAAAAAGACCCCAGGAATCGGGGGCAGGGTTCAAGTTTCAGTTCCATCCCTAGTTATGTGGCTTTGGGCATGTTGCTTCTTATCTGAGACTCAGTTCCTCCATGTGTAAAGTCCAACTCAGTTCCTCCATGTGTAAAGTCCATATAATATTTATGCTGCCTGATTCAAAAAGGGTTGCTGGTAAGGGACAAATAAAATGCATATGAAAGCACTTTGTTAACCATAACGGTGCTTTGCAAATTGCAAAGCATGACAAATTTCCACTATATAATAACAGGTATAGTCATAATAGCTAGCATTCATACAGCGCTCTAAGGTTTGCAAAGTCTAGATATGTTATCTTATTTGATCCTCACAACTCTGTGAGATAGGTGCTATGATCTCCATCTTACACATGAGGAAACTAAGGCTGAGAGGTTAAGTGACTTGTCCAAAGTCACGTAGCTAGCATCTGAGGATGGATTTGAACTCAGGCCTGCCTGACTCCAAGGCCAATGTTCTCATCCATTGCACAACCTGGCTGTCTCCCAATTTGAATATATTCAAATTAATTGTCATTTGGGAAAACCAATCCAGCAAATATCAATTCCTCTTCCCCCCTCCCCCTTCTCCTCCTTTGCTTTAAGAGATTAATAGTTTCAGGGATGGTCATTCAAGGAACTGAAATTTGGTGATCCTTTAGATTTCTGAAGACCAACAGAATTCCTTCTCATTCATCGTCTCATTCATAGCCACTGCTCATTCCATGCTGATTTGCTAGTTCCCAATGAATCCATCAACAAGCGTTTATTAAATGTCTGTTATGTGCTGCGCCTTGTGGATACAAAGACAAAAATGAAACAGTGCCTGCTCCTAAGAGCTAACATTCCCTCTCTAGGTATGTATCTATTCTGTACAAAATACACACACAGTAGTTGAGTGGGGAGGTGCTACCAGTTGGGTGGACCAGGAAAGGTCTCATGTAGGAAATGGGGACGCAAGTGCCAGGCCTTCACAGCTGCTGTTACTGGCAGGAAAATGCATTTTGCCAGTGTTATCAGCAATAACAAATGTTTACACACACACACACACTCTCTCTCTCTCTTTCCTTCTCTTTATCTTTCTGTCTCTTCTGTCTTTCTCTCCTCTCTCTGTCTCTCTTCTTTGTCTCTCTGTCTCTCTCTGTCTTTATGTCTATTTCTCTCTCCTCTTTCTGTTTCTCTCTCCTCTCTGTCTCTTTCTCTGTCTCTCTCCTCTTTCTCACTCTATCCTCTCTCTCTCTCTCTCTCTCTCTCTCTCTGTCTCTCTCTCTCCCCCATCTCTTACTCCTCTTCCTGTCTCCGTCTCTTTCTCTCTGTTTCTCCTTTCTCTCTGTCTCTGTCCTCTGTCTCTGTCTTTTTTACAAGTTACAAAGAACTTATTTATTCTGTCTCATTTGCTCCCTATGACAGCCCTGTGAGGATATTAGGTATTATCCTCATTTTACAGATGAGGAAAATCAGACAGAGCTAAGGACTTAAAACGAGATCTTCTTACTGACTGCAAGACCAGGGCCCTTACCACTACAGAAAATAACACTATACAATTTAAAGACCTACTTGTGAAATGAAAATTGGAGAAAATAAAGAAACCAATGATCAATACTCATAAAATAAAAAATGTTCTTTATTAGAGAAGGCTTAATATATAAGTATATATAACATGATATTAAATAGTTTAAACTATTCAAATTTTATTTCTCTGTTATAACTGTTTATAAAAGCAATCATCTATCTTTAAAAAAAAACTATTTACAACCTTGGACACAATGGAAAAATTTATTTTCCTTCATCTGAAGATCAAGTAGAATCATCTGTAAGGAGGGAAGTCTGCAACACCACGTAGAAAGGCTAAAATACACCATATGTGCACAGAATCCATGATTTAAAATAGGGAATCTACACTTGCACTGAAATAGCATTCCCAGAAACACCTTTAAATCACTGGCTATCACATTATGGTAAATCTTAACCTTCAGATGCATTTACATATAAAGTTGCAATGCTCAAGGTCATCCTGCAGCAATATCACTTACAGTTATAACCAGATTTTACCATAATCTCACCAGAACGTTATAAGGTAATGCTCATTAGATTGTAAGCACCTTGAGGGTGGGGACTGTATTTTGCCTCTTTTTGTATCCCTAGCACTTAGCACAGTGCCTGGCACATAGGAGGTATTTAATAAATGTTAACTGATTGATTCACTGATGTGTCCATTCCTAAAGTTCTTTCTGGGGAACTAAGTTCCTGTAAAGCTACAATGATGATGACTTCACAATTATATAGCCTGCTAAGTTGCAAAGCACTTTACATCTATAATCTCACTGATCCTCACACTGACCCTATAGTAATATTACTATATGATGATGATTTTGATAATAATAATAATAGCATTTATATAACACTTCAGAGTTTTCAAAGTGCTTTACATATATTACTCATTTGATCTTCACAACAACCCTGGGAGGTAGGTGCTGTTATTATCATCCCCATTTTATAGATGAGGAAATTGAAGTTTAAAGGGGTTATACTTGCCTGGGGTCCCAGTTAGGAAGTGTCTAAGGCAGGATTTGAACTCATGTCTTCTTGACTCCAAATCCAGCACTCCACCCACTTTATCAACCAATGTCCTATTTTTGAGGAATCAATGACTGAGATCAGGCTGGGTAGACCTATATAGAAAGGTCACATCTCTGAAAACTGAAAATTCTGGATTCACTGGGGGGAGACGGTGGCAGGAGGAGAAAGAAATGGGTCAATTATTGACTTTATCTAAACACCTGGACCATGGCAACTGGACACATAGCCTTTAGACTCAAGATTTCAGTTTTCATCCATTATGTCTGACATAATGGAGAAAAAGCCCCAAACAGCTTGTGAAAAGAAAGTCATTTCCATGTACTAAAGAAATTTCATTAGGAACCCCTGGAATAAGAGGTGCCTTATTAGTGTGCGAATGGAAGGCCTAGTACCTGAGATGGATAGTCATAGATATACACACTCACTGCATGTGCTGTGTTCTCTCCAATGCTGCACATATGACATGCCCGAAGTATAAATCCTTCCAATGGACTGATAAAAGCATCTGTTTCTATTGTATTGACTTTGTCCTGGACTTTTTTTTTCTGCAATAAGAGAATGCAGTCCTAATGAAAGAATTATTTTAAATAATTTTCAATCTCAATGAAGGTCCTCCTGTAATGCCTCCTTGTGGCTCGGGGGTGAGCTGGGTGACTTGACGTTCACGTCAGAAAAAGGCGAGCTCTGGAAAGTTCCACACCAAGCTTGAAAAGCTGGAAATATGGGCCCTTTGGCTGATGGCGTTTGCAGTGTAAGGATTAGACCAGTCAAGTACAACTTTCATCACTAGAAAGTTGGCAGCCAGGTGATTTTTTTTTTGGGGGGGGAAGGGGGATTTTATAGGAACTTACGAAACTGTCTCCTAAAGAACAGAGGAATTTCAGTTTGTATGTATGAAGTACTAACGCTGATGAAAACACAGATAATTGTACTATTGAAATATAAACATTTTGAATGTTAATATGAAATTTCCCAGAACTTTTTTTTCTCCCTAATTTAAATAATGCAGCACCATATACATATGTAAGTAAGCACAGAAAAAACCCTGAAGTTGTCCCTGTATACCTGGTAGGCAGCTTCTATGGAGGTGAGGTTAACAACCAACCAGATGGCTATATAATACTTTAAAAGTATATTTTGTGGTGTGTGCTTTTTTAAGTGCTACCCTTACTTAAGAATCTCGTTGTTCAAGTAACAACTAGAGATACTTAAAATATTTATGAAAGTTTCTTCATTACATGAGTTAGGAGGTCATTAAGAAAAAAATCCAGGCATTGGCCACAGGTGGCCAGATCAGTCATTACTCTGCTGTCAATACAGGAGAGTCCTGAGACTGGCCACATACGTTGGTCATGATGGAAGTTTTAATGATAAAAATAAGAGTGCTCGCGAAATGCACCTGAAAAATGAAATACAAAAATAGAACATTTAATCACAAACCTGTGGCCATGCAGGTGGACCCATGTCATGCCCAATGACAAGGCAAATGGCATCACGCAAACAACCAGGAATCTCTATTGGGTTTGGTCAGAAGGTTTTCCAATTTGCTTTTACAAGTCACAGCACCATCATTACCGGGTTTTCAAGCACAGCTAAGAATTCACTGCACGGATAATCTTGGAGTTAATGGTTTTAGTTGGGAGATTCTAGGTAAGCGAGGTTTGGCTGCCTAATGCTGACATTCCTTCACATTCATAGTTAAGTCTTAGCCCACTTTCTATTCCAGATAAAGGACCAGAGTGTAACTTAGCCTGGCAAAGGTTGAGACTGTTTTGGCAACATGAATATAAAAATATAATGGTGGAGTTTAGCCACAGTTTTGTGACCTTAAATAAGTAATTTCCCTTTTCCGAGCTTCGATAAAATGAATGCATCGGACAGAAGGACTTCCAAAGTTCCTTCCGCTTTAAAAAAGAGTGATGAATGTATGATAACAGCAAACGCGTACATTTATTTAATATCACTCCCAACGGTCCTATGTTCTGCCCACCATAGTGACAGTTCGTGGGAAATACATTTCAAAGTGCTAAAACATCATTCAACTTTCCAAATAGCAATCTTTCCTTCCTCTTTGCCTGAGCCACTCAGCACGTATCGGTCCTCCGCTGAACACAAAGCCTTCACCGTGTCAGCATGGGCCACCAGCTCCTTCTCCACAATTTTCTTATCAGCATCGATCACGTAGATTTTTCCCTTGTATTTTCCCTGGGACAGTCCTTTGCTGCCCACCCAGATCTGAAGACGAAGAAGAAAAAATCAGTAGAGGACATTAAAAACTGTAATTTAAAATTTTTTCTTTTGTTTTTCTCAATTCCATGTACACAATTTTTTTCAAACATTCATTTTTTAAAATTATGAGTTCCAAATTCTCTTGCTCCCTCTTTACCCTCCCCCCTTGAGAAGGCAAGCAATTTGACATAGGTTATATACGTGAAGTCATACAAAACATACTTCCATATTAGCCATGTTGCAGCTAGGGGCGTAGTGGATAGAGTGCTGGGCCTGGAATCAGGAAGACCTGAGTTCAAAGCCAACATCAGACACTTACTAGCTGTGTGATCCTAGGCAGGTCACTTAATCCTGTTTGCCTCAGTCTCCTCCTCTGTCAAATGAGCCAGAGAAGGAAATGGCAAAATCAGTCCAGTACCTTTGCCAAGAACACCCTAAATGGGGTCATAAAGAATCAAATATGACTGAAAACAACTAAACAACAACAACAACATGTTGCAAAAGAAAACACAGAAAAAAAAGAGAGAGAAAAAAAGAGAAAAACGAAGTACAAAAAGTATGCTTCAATCTGCATTCAGACTCCATCAAGAACTATAATTTTTTTTTAAAAAAGCATTTCATACCTCCACCATCATCCAAAAGCGTTTTATCCATTGTACATGTGATACAGATCCTTCTCTACTAGCTACTTACATTCCAATTTTGGACACCACCAATACAAACAAAAGATATGAAAATAACTCTGGACTGATTAATTTTATAATTGTCTTCCACAATCAAAAGTGACATAGATACACTAAACCTTGAAGGTAAAAATTGTTATAAGTAAGAAGGTACCTTGGGAAAACAACAACAATGAAGCAATAATAAAAACAATGATAATTATAATGATGAAGATACATTTATAGAGCATGTCCTCACCACCTCAACCCCAGAGGAGAAAAGGTGCTGAGACCTAAAGAAGGAACAATTTCAACCTTTCGATCTGCTAATACTATGACTTAAGGGGATGGTATAAATACCTGGGGAAGGTAGAACTTTCAAAGGAAAATGATCTTTTTTGACTATTTATGGACTTGATTATGAGTCCTCTGAATTTCCTATCGGGTTAAATATAACCTGTCCTATATTCAATGTTTTGTTAGTCTGACTCTTTGCATGAGAACTGAAGGCCCTTCTTTTCCTTTAAAGGGAGACCTAGGCATGAGCTAAATTCTGATGTTCCAGTTGGGTGGTGTAGTGGATAGACCACTAGGCCTGGAGTCAGGAAGACTCCTCTTCCTGAGTTCAAATCTGGCTTGGACACTTACTAGCTGTGTGACCCTGGGCAAGTCACTTAACACTGTTTGCCTCGGTTTCCTCATCTGTCAAATGAACCAGAGAAGAAAATGGTAAACCATTCCAGTATCTTAGCTGATAAAACCCCAAATGTGGTCACGAAGTTTTGGACATGACTGAACAACTACTATACATATCCAAGAAAATTACTGAGAAGCCTCCAAGACTGAATCTAGGACATGTGAACTCATTTTGAGCTACAGGTTATACATAAATAAGACTTTTTAATAGATCCACTTAACAAAGCATTTTTTCTTAGTAATTCTGTAACATAAGATTATTAGCCCCATTTAACAGATGAGGAAACAGGCTCAGAGAGAGGAAATGATCTGCCCAAAGTCACACAGCTAGACAATATTCTTGCCCTTATATCATGGTTGCCTCTTCTAATTTATGAGACTTTTATAATTTTTCTAAAGCATTTTCACTTTCATCATCTCATTCTGACTTTCACGATGGCCCTCTGAATTAGGAAGAATAAGTATTTGATTTCTTATTTGCCAAATCCAATGACCTCTTCTCAATATAAATCCTTCTTGACCTCTCAACACTCTCCTACTTCTCCTCCTACTTGTCTGACTGCCCATCAGTTTTGCTTTTTTTTTATTTTTCTTGCTGGATTTCCAACCATGTCATATCCACACAAACAGTGGTTGTGTCCATGGCTCACATTATCCTGAGCCCTCTTATTTTCTCCTACTTTGAACAGGCATCTCAAATGCAGCATTTCAGAACAGAACTCATTTCTTCCCCAAACCCTCCCCTCTTATATCAACTTCCTTATTACTACCAAGGGTACCACCATCCTTCCAATCACCTAGGTCCAAAACCTTGGTGTCATCCTTGACTGCTTACTCTTTCGTCCCATATATATCTTCTCACATAAGGAAATTGAGGCTCACGAACAACAAGTGACTTAAGCTTGCTAGTAAGCATTGGAGCCAGTATTTGAATGCAGATCTTTCTACTCCATAAGGCTTACAGATGTCTTACATATCATAACTTTAACTCAGATGGGTTGGGTCCTTCCCCATGTTCTGGATCCCATCCTTTAAATATACACACAGAAAAACTTTTTGTGTTCCAAACTCCATCAGTATGGGTCTCTGCTGAAATGGACACTGATGAGCAGGCTGACTTCAGAAAAACCCAGGAAAACCCATATGAACTGATACAAAGTGAAGTGAGCAGAACCAAGAAATAATTGTACACAGTAACAGCAATATTGTAATGATGATTAAATGTGAAACACTTAGCTACTCTGATCAATACAATGATCTAAGACAATTCTAAAGGACTCATGATGAAAAATGCTATCTATCTTCAGAGAGAGAACTTATGAACTCGGTGCAAATTGACATATAACTTTCTCACTTTATTTTTCTTGCTTTTTTTTTGCATCATGGCTAATAATACAGAAACAGATTTTGCATGATTTCACTTACATAACTCATATATTGCTTGCCTTCTCAGTGGATGGGGGAGGGGCTGAAAGGAAGGGGAGAATTTGGAACTTAAATTTATTTTTAAATCTTAAAAACAAATAATAAATGTAAAAGAAAAAGAAAAAGAAAGGAATGCTGTATTGAGATTTGGGAGTAGATGGGAGTCTCTAAGAGGTAAACCACATCATAGCCACAAGATTCAAGTGGGAGGAAGATTGGAGGTCTTAAGTCTGATTCTATGTTCTGTTAGTATGGATTCTCATGGCATTCAAGTACTTTAGAAGTAAAAACAATAATATAGTACTCAGAAACATGGTATCCTGGGATGAAGTCAGAAAAGTTGAGAGGCATTTTACAAAAAGAAATGTATGTACCCTAAACAATTCAAAGAAAAAGGAAAATAACTTAATTGCACAAAAACATTTATAGCAACTTTTTGTAGTGTCAAAGGACTGGAAGGTAGGAGGATGGTTGAACAAATTATGGTTTGTAAATATTATAAATATTATTGAATGAATATTATTACACTGTAAGAATTATGAAAAGGACAATTTTAGAAAAATCTAGAAAGATCTGTATGAACTGATACAGAGTGAAGTGAGTAGAATCAGGAGAATAATTTATGTAATAAAAACATTATAAAGATAAACAACTTTGAAAGACTTAAGAACTGATTGATGCAATGTTGTTGTTTAGTCATTTTTCAGTCATGTCTGACTCTTTGTGACCCTGTTTGGGGTTTACCTGGCAAGGATATTGGAGTGGTTTGTCATTTCCTTCTCCAGCTCATTTTACAGATAAGGAAACCAAGGCAAACAGGGTTAAGTGACTTACCCAGGGTCATGCAGCTAGTGTCTGAGGCCAGATTTGAACTCAGGAGGAGTATTTCTGACTTCAGGCCTGGCACTCAATCCACTGAGCCACTTGCCTGCCCCACTGCTGCAGTGACCAATCACAATTCCAAAAGACCAATGATGAAGCATGCCACTCATCTTGTGACAGAGGTGATGAAGTCAAGATGCATAATGAGATGCACATTTCTGAGTATGGCCAATGTCAAGGATTTGTTTTACTTGACTTGACTATATATGTTTGATAAATAGTTTAGTTTTTTTTTTCTTTCTTCCAATGGGGGATGGTGGTGGGAGAGAGACAGAATAAATGCTTGATCATCGAAAGAATTAAATTAAATTAAATTAAATTTTAAAGTGACAGATGAATACTGTTCCTTAGCAGTATCATGCCTTCTATGAAGCTTAAACTTCAACCATTCCAGTCCAGCCCTAAAAGCACCATAAAGTACATTTGTTCCAGAGAACAAAACTAGCAGCTCCATGCATGAAAACTTTAAGGTGGTATATTTTGACTTGATATAAGGACACTCTAACAATTAGAATTTTCCAGAAATGGCATGGGCTTCCTCATGAGATGGATTCTCTAACACTGAGGTGCTGGTTGGGTGACTATTTGACAAGAAGGTTGCATAGGGAGTGAATGCTTTAAAAAGAGTTAGGGCAAGAGGTTCCCATAGGTTGCTTCAAACTCATGAATTCTACGCTTGCCCAAGGCCCTTCCCCACTTTACTGTCCTCATCTATAAAACAAGGAGGAGATTGGGCTAGATAGCCCAAAGGTTATTCCTAGTGCTAATACTCTATGGCTTAATGACTGGTCTTGGGACATGTGGTCATGGGCTAAGAGGTTTGTATTTGCTTACCTGTACATACACAAATACATCTCTAAACCTTTCTTTCTGCTGCCCTGGGCTGGGGATCAACCCCTATGACTTTGACAAGTTACAGTTACAAGGTTCATACCTGGTTCTTTACTTTGATCATACAGCTGATCTCTGAACAGTCTTGAAGCTGAATTTTATGAGGCAGTCTTGAGAAGTCCTTTATGTTCCAGACATATATGTCTCTGTGTCCAGCACATGCTGTCCAGACCTGGTCTTGCTAAAAATACAAGTGACAGTGTGACACTTTTATTCAGGCATTTTACTGCTAAGCAATATCAGACCTGCTGATAATGTTCCACAATGAATTGTTCTGAAATACCTCAAGAACCAGCTGGAAACAGAGGAAAGAGGCGAATATTTCCTTAAAGAGCTCGTCAATTTTCAGTTCTTGTCGAAGAAATCCGTTTGTTGTCACGACCATAATGCTACGGCCTATACCTGCAATGTTTTTTAAAAAAGCTGCTCACAATGGACATATCCAAATCACACATAAAGAAGCCATACTTTTAAGGAAACATAAAAGTGAAATATGGCTTAACTGCCATATAATAAACCAAGTGAAGGGTTCAGGGAGAAGTAGGCTAAGTGAAAGAAAAAATGTCCTCACTGTGCTTTGTGAAGCACTTGTTTATTTATTTATTCATTCATCCATTCATTTTACAAAGTGCTTTTCAAATCTTTATGCTAAATATCAAATTCAAATGTTTGTTAAATTCCTAGTATGTGCAAGACCCCATGAAAGGCAGCAGAAAGAGGGTTGCACCTGGAGTCGGGAAGACCTGAATTCAAATCCAGTCCAGACTCTTAACTAACTCTGTGACCCTGGGCAAGTCACTTAACTTGTGTCAATCTCAGTTTCCTCATCTGTAAAATAGGGATAATAATAGCATCTACCTCCTAGGGTTGTTGTGAGGATCAAATGAGATAATATTTGTAAAGCACCTGTCACACTGTAGGTGCTTAATACATGCTAGCTGTTAATATTATTGCTAGGGTAGGGGTAGGGGACAAGGATGAGTAAGATTAGGAACTTATGTTCTAGTGGGGGGCTTGCCACATACCCAAATATCTATAAAGTAAAACAGAATGGTAATTGCACAAGTAATATATTAAAAAATAATTTTAAACATTTAATTAGAATGCACTTATTGAAAAGGAGAGAGACCTATAGTGACAACTACGGGACAGAGGAATGAACTGTTCAGCCAAAAAATATTTAAGTGCCCAATGCTTGCAGAGCTCTATGCTAGGTATTGGGGCAGTTAGGTGGCACAGTGGATAGAGTGTGGGACCTGGAGTCAGGAAGACTCATCTTGCTGAATTCAAATCTGTCCTCAGACACTTACTAGGTGTGTGACCCTGGGCAAGTCCCAAACTCTAGTTTGTCTCAGTTTCCTCATCTGTCAAATGAGCTAGAGAAGGAAATGGCAAACCACTCCAGTATCTTTGCCAAGAAAACTCAAAACAGGGTCACAAAGAGTTAAATGTGACTGAAAATAACAAAAATGCTACATATTAAGAGAGAGAAGTTTAGCTGAGACACGACCTCTGTCCTCATGAAGCTATACAACTTAGTAGGGAGATATGTGGATCCAAGTAACTATAACATATCATGTAAAGTACATGAGAATGGTCCCAAACCAAACGCTAGGGGAGGCTGGAAGAGGAAGGTATGAGGCAGCCTCACGGAGGTGGTGGCAGAGCCCGATTCAGGCTTTAAAGGATGAACAAGACTGGCGAGTCTCATTTGTCTTATGCTTTATTTTGTAAAATATTTTGCAGATGCACTCTTCAGTTATTCCCCTAAACACCTGATTCCCTGAAGAATTTCCTTCCTAATTCATCAAGGCAAACTTCAGTTGGCTGAAGTAACTCAACAAAGTAGTATTAAGTTCAAATATTAAGAAACTGACCTTTTGATAAAGCTATTGAAATGTAAAAAAAAAGTATGAATTCAGAGGAGGAGGTCATAATGAGCGTAAGGAACAGCATAAGAAAAAGTACGAGGACGGGAAAACACAAGATATGTTCTAGGGGTAAAGGTTGAACTAAGACACAGCAGACATGAAGGAGAGTAACATGAGCGACAGGAGGCCTTGAATGACAAGCAATGGAGTTTTAATTTTACACGTCAGGCAATAAGGAGCAAATATGTGTGACCCTGGCCAAATCGCTTAACCTGTTTGCCTTAGCTTCCTCAACTGTAAAATGGGATAATAACAACACCTACCTGGCAGGGCTGTTGTAAGGATCAACAACAATGTTGATGAAAACAGCTAGCATTTATACGGCTCTTCCTATGTGCCAGGCTCCATGTTAATTGCTTTATAATTATCATCTCATTTTATCTTCACGACAACTCTGAGAAGTAGGTGCTATTATCATCCCCATTTTACAGATGAGGAAACAGAGGTTAAATCACTCGCTCAGGGTCACACAGCTAATAAGTGTCTGAGGCCGGATCTGGGCTCAACTTTTCCCGATTCTGGTCCGGCACTCTATCCACTGTGCTATCTAACTAACTCATGAGATCAAATGAGATATTATTTGCAAAAGCGCTTAGTGCAGCGCCTGGCACATAGTAGGTGCTACATAAATGCTTATTCCCCTCTTCTCTACTAAATAAATGATATGACCAGATCTTGCATAAGACTTTCCAGCAAGTTCCTGGAAGGTAAAGACTATTTCATTTTTACCTTTGTGGTCCCAGCAGCTAGTACAATACTTGGCACACAGTAGGTACTTAATAAATGTTTGTTGATTTGAATAAGGAAGAATAATTTGGTGGCATTAGGAAGAATAGATCAGAAGAGAATGCTTTCCTCCTCACCTCTGTCTCCTAGCTTCCCTCAGTGATTCAGCTCAAATTCCACTTTCTACAAGAAATCTTTCCCCCTGACCCCCTCCCCAGTGCCTTTCCTCTAGGGTTATCTTCCACTTATACCTTATATAGCTTGTATTTACCATATTTTGCTCCTTGCAGGCAGGGACCATGTTCTTTCTTACTTTTCTCTGTATCCTCGGGACTTAGCACAGCAGCTGGTGTGTAGTAGGTACTCAATAAATGTTTGTTGACTGACAGAGATTAGGGGCGAGAAGAACAATTAAGGAGCTACCCTAAGAAATCCCGCTGGGGGATGAGGGTGTGGAATGGTAGTGGTGGAGACAGTGAGAAGGGGCCCAGAGTGAGGGACGCTGCAGTGAGCTCGGCAACCTCAGCAAAGTGAGGATGTTTACAGCAGCAAATTCAGAGAAGACTGATGACTGTCTTTGGGGAACGGTTTGAGTAGATTCTCACCACTCTGCATAATGTTCTCTGACCAACGTTAATTCACAATAATGTCCTTAATATGTTATGACCCCCGTGATGTTGTGAAACCCTGCAGCCATTTTTAGAGAGATCCCTATTTATAATGTTGTTCCCATGGAAGCAACTGTCCCCTGTCATTCTGAGTAACGTCACATTTTCACACAACCAATTAATTATGTTAGGGACGCTTTGCCTGCCCCTACTTTGTTTCTGTGATTTTATGTTATGGACCTTTAATGAAAACTATTGGGTTAAAAATAACTGATTCGAAGCATTGAAAAATTAGCAGAAGCTAAATTTGATTAGGCTGAGAGGCAACATGATAAAGTAGGAAAAGGAGTCAGGGGAGACCTGGGTTTGAATCTTGCTTCTGATGACTATTAGCTGTATAATCATGGATAAGCCACTGAGCCTCGGGTTCCTCTTCCATAAAATGGGGTTATTAACACCTGTATTAGTTACTTCACAAGGCTGTTGTAAGGATCATATGAAACAGGCTTTGCAAACCTTAAAGCACTGTTATGTATTATTGCTAAAGCATGGGAGAGAAGAAGGAGAGAGGGAGAGGGGAAGAAGGAGACAGGAGAGAGAAAGGCAGGGGGAGAGAGAGAGCGAAAAGGGGAGGAGGGAGGGAGAGAGAGAGAGAGAAAGGGAGAGAGGGGGAAGAAAAAGAGAGGGGGAGTGAGAGAGAGAAAGAGAGAGGGAGAGAGAGAGAGAAGAGAAGATGGGAGAGGGGAGAGAGCAGAGAGAAAGGGTGAGAGGGAGGAAGATGGGGAAGGGGAGAGACAGAGAGACAGAGATATAGAGAGGAGAGAGAGAGAGAGAAGGGAAGAGGGGAGAGGGGAGGGAGAAAGGGTGAGAGGGAGGCAGACAGGGAGGGGGAGAGACAGACAGAGAGAAAGAGAGACAGAGACACAGACAGGAGAGACAGAAAGAGAGAGAGAGAGAGAAAGAGAGAGAGAGAGAGAGAGAAAGAGAGAGGAGAACCAGTTTTATGAAAATAAAAACAGAAAAAGAAGAAAACAAATACAAAGAGAATCTAAGTGCTAAGATATATAGCTTTTATATATATACACACATGCATGTACATATATATGTATATGTGTATGTGTATATATATACATATACATATCTATGCATACACATACACACACACACACACACCCTAGTGTTTTAAATGTTGCCTCCCTCCTCAGAATGTAAGCCCCTTGAGGGCTTTTATTTATATCCCCGGCACATAATAAGGGCTTAATCAGTGCTTGCTGTTTTGCTGACTGAAAAGGGAGAATGAACTTAAATAAAATCGCAATGCTGTTCGTTCCAAAATACGTTTTGACGGTGTGCATCATCAGACTTACAGCACCAAAGGCGGCCATTATGAAGCTTAATGGAAGTTAGATTTTGGCATGGCAGGTGAAATTTCCTATTCACTTTCAGGGTACTGACATTCCACGCAATGATTACTCCATCCAAACTGCATGAATAGACTTCACCGCTGCTGTCAAAAAAAATTACATAAGTTATCCTTAGATAAAACTATGTAAGCCACGAGAACAGGAAACAAATTACATGGAAAAGTAGGGTTAAAATATCAATGCTAAGAAATAAAAACAGCAATTTGATAATGCCAAAAGTTTACTTAAATTTAATTGTCAGGGCATGACTATCGGTTTGATAAGATGACTGCTGCTTCCTATCCCTGACTATTCCCCTGTCTCTCATGCTTACTACCTACATGTGACCTTGTATAAGTCACTTGGCCTCAGTTTACACATCTGTAAAATAAGAGGGCTAGACTGAGGACCTTTCCAGCTTCTGATCTATGGACCTATGATTCTAGGACTTGCTGCTGGCAGTATTCAATGTCATATTATAGGGACTTATTAAATTCTTGTGGTGATGATGGTGGTGATAAGAATAGTAACAGTTCCCACTTCTAAAGGACTTTTCAGTTCATAAAGTGTTATTCTCACAACAACCCTTTGAGACATAATATTATATGGTTAGTAGTTAGTAATATTATTACTACCCATTTTTAAGATGAGCAAACAGGCTGATCTTGTGAAGCGATTTGGTCGGTCACAGTACTGTGGAGGCAGTGGGGTAAGGTGAAGAGTGTTGGTCACAGAACCAGGAAGGGCTATGTTCATGTGCCCCTGGCACATTAGAGAGACAGCCAGCTTTGGAGCCAGGAAGGCTTGAATTCAGGCCCCTCCTCTGATACTTATTGGCTGTGTGACCCTGGGCAAGTCACGTGCTCCCTCACTGCTCTGCAAATCTCTGAGATTATAAACCGTATTAAAGGTGTTGCCTTATACGGATAGAGGGAGTTTCTGATGCCAATGAAAACACCAGGCTAGTCCCTCACTCCTCTCCCTCTCCATACCACCAATACATGGAGCAGTCAGACCTTCAACTCAGTTATCTGAAACCAGATATTGGAGGGCCCCTTCCACTAAAACAGGGATTCTGAATATTTTTTGTGTCATGGACCCCTCTGGCATCTGGTAAAGCCTACAAGCCCCTTCTCAGAACCATGTTGTACATTTATTAAACAAAATACAGAGGACTACAAAGGACGGTATTGAAACAGATTTATCAAAACATTTTTGTAAAAAACAAGTTCACAGATCCCAGGCTATACAAACAAAACCTTAAATAGCTGAAAAGCTAAAATACAATTTATGATGCTGAAGTTTAGTTTTTAACATGAACGATAACTAGATACCCAAAAACGAGCCTTATAGTATTAGATTCTAATGAAGACAACATATTACCTTTTTGCCTTGTTTTTGTTTAATCATCATGTGAATTTATATGAATAAACTTCCATTATCCAAAATGAAGATAGGACTACATCATGGAGGGAAGGAAGTTAAGTGTCATACAGTCAAAATAGCACACTGAAAGGTATTCAAGTTACTGGGCTTCTCTTTGTCTGGTTCTGCTTCTGATTTGTACAAGTCCCTTCACCTTTCTGGGCCTCAGCATCTTTATCTGTGAAATGCTGGGGTTGGACTAGATCAGAGGTGTCAAAATTGTGCCACTCTTGAATCAAATTAAAATGTAATTGGGAAATATTTAACAAAATATATAAAAATACACTACAGCAGATAATGTTAATTTGTAGTTTCCTAAATCAATATGCAGCCCATAGGGATGCATTTCTATTTGAATTTGATACCACTGGATTAGATGATCTAAGGTCCAAATAGAATAAAAAATTCTAAGATTTGTTGGCAAAGGGAAAAATGTTATTCAAAAAATTGCTGCCTATTTTTATAGCCATGAAGATAATTTAACTCAGATTATGACCTCTTTCCAGACATAGATTTTAAAACTTTTTTCTTGATTCTTATTAAAAGACACACCACTTATTTCAGTTCTTCAGCCTTAATTTACCTAGATTCCTTGTTTCCATCTTCTACAATTAAATCCATGATGCTAGAACGATGATCAGTGAGTTGCTTGTTACAGGACATACTATGAATGTTAATAATGTAAATAATGGAGTCCTGAGAGCCTATCCAAACTTGATTCTGTTCTGCCATCAGCATGCAATTCTGCAAGAGGCAAAGAGATTGAGAATTTCCTTAACAAATGAACAAAATTGAACATTCTGTCTGGAGATATGAGTTCAAGATGTTTTGTCTTATTTTATAGCTTTAAAACAATGTTCAAAAAATGAATGATTTTTAACTTGTATTAAATGGTATTAATTGATGCAAATTATGAAAACCAATAAAATACTGCATTTCACATAGCCATTTACACACAGTTCAATCTGGCCAAAGGACTGAAGTAAATAGAATTATTTCATTTTTGTGTTCCATGGTGCTTCTATCAAGTTTTAAGCTATTAATACAGACAATACGATGTAAAATTTGATCATGGAGCCAGTGGGAAACCAGTGGAGCTGATTGATTACGGGAGTGAGACAGTCAGAACTGCCTGTTTGGGAAGATCCCTTTGACAGCTGGACGGGAGTGAAAAGAGACTGGAGGCAGGCAGACCCACCAGCAGGCTATTGCCATAGTCCAGGCATGAGGTTATGAGGGCCTGCACCAGAGCAGTTGTGGTGTCAAAGAAGGTGTATATGAGAGATACTGAGAAGGTAAAATCAACCAACATAGGTAGAATCTGTGTGTGTAAGAGAGAATCAAAGATGACAAGTAGATCAGAAGCTTGGTTTTCTCCCCATTTTGTACTTGTGAAGCTGATTTTTTTTAACACCAAATGTAAAATGTGATATTAATCATCATTATATTTCATCTTAAGAGACTGAGTCCAAAGTTCTAGCTAACCAAGAACTTTTTGTATCCTGAATGTCATGTAAAGTCTCTACTTTGTATTGCTTATAAATACAGCACACATGCCATCTGTATAATTTACTTAAGTATCTGATAATAACCTCAGTAATAAATAATCTAATAACCTAAGTAATAAAATACTAAACACAACAGGGTCAACTACAGATCTCTGGGAAACTCAAATAAAGACTTCCTTCCAGGTTGACACCAAACACTCTGAGACAGGATTTTGGGGTGGGAGGAACAAGTGAAAGAAAGAAACGCTCCGGCATTTGTCCAGATGAAGTCTCCTTCCACAGTCGTATCATGTGTCTGTGTCAGGCTTGTTATCCATTTCCCCAAACTTCTTATCTATTCTTCTGTCCAGCGGATTTGCAGCGTATTTCCCCCACAACCTTCTCTCTTCTCTTCCTGCCCCTGTAGATGTTAACTTAAGAGCTCTCTGACTTGACAATTCTTGGATTGCCTCCCATGAGTATATTTTCTTTTTTTTCTTTTTTAATATATTATTTAATATTCTATTTCCCCCAATTACATGTAAAGATAACTCAACATTCGTTTTCAAGAATTTTGAGTACCAAATTCTCTCCATACCTCTTTCCCTTCCCTCCTTCATTGAGAAGACAATTTTATAGACAGGTGCAGTCATGCAAAACTTATTTCCCTATTGGTCATGTTGTGAAAGACACAGACCAAGAAAAAAAAAACCCAAGAAAAATAAAGTTTAAAAAAGGATGCTTCAATCTGCATTCAGACTCCATCAGTTCTTTCTCTGGATATGGATAACATTTTTCATCATATGTCCTTCAGAGCTGTCTTGCATCATTGTACTGCTGAAGATAGCTAAATCATTCACAGTTGATTATCATTACAATACTGCTGTTACTGTATACAATATTCTTCTGGTTCTGCTCATTTTACTTTGCACTAGTCCATGAGTATATTTTCTTTTTTTTCTTCTTTCTTTCTTTCTTTCTTTCTTTCTTTCTTTCTCTCTTTTATTTATTTATTTATTTTTTGCTAGGCAATGGGTTAAGTGACTTGCCCAGGGTCACACAGCTAGTAAGTGTCAAGTGTCTGAGGCTGGATTTGAACTCAGGTCCTCCTGATTCCAGGGCTAGTGCTCTATCCACTGCGCCACCTAGTTGCCCCAGTATATTTTCTTAATATACTGCAATTGTTATTACTGCAATTAATGGAATTGTTCACCATTACACTTCTCACATTCAGTCCCCTTGCACATACTCAACCTCACACTTATCTACTCTGTTTTCACTGAACAGGTTGTCTTTTCACACCTGGTATTCACTCCCCTAGTCACTTCTGCCTTCCAGAATCTTAGCCTGGGGGAGACTTGAGAAAATTCAATTCCCTCCTTTCTTTGCTGAGATGGGGGAACCACAGGGTGGGATACTGCATGAGTCAGGGAACATCCACAAGAAGGCAATCAGGTTAGCAAAGTGCCTTGAGATTATGGCATATGAAGGTCATTTCAAGGAAATGGAGATGGTTAGCCAATAGAAAAGAAGACTTAAATCAGGGGTTCTTAATCTGGGATCTGTGGATGGCTTACAGGGAGGTTCATGAACTTGGATGGGGAAAAACATTACATTGTGATTAAAAAAATCTGACAATTAATGCTTCTGTGGCCAGAAATAGCTGATGTTTTCCAAGCATCCAACTTGCAAGCAGTGGTATAACCTAGACCTGGAGAAAATGGAGCCTAATAACTATTAATATTCCCACCATGTTTTTCATTAGTAGCATGCTACTGTCATTCACTTACCTATTATTTGTCGTCAAATTTTTGGTCACTCATCACATCAAAGGCCAAAGGGTCCAGGAGACAACACCTACACTCTATCCCCCCCCCTTCCTCTCACAACTACAAATGCAAATTCACTATGACTAATGAGAAGATACTGAGGTTAAATCTGGGTTGTCAGAGCTCGTTTGGGTCCGGGAGGTATCACTGGTCCATAATTGCCTCATGCACTGCTAGTTTAGTACAACAGGTCTTAAATGGTGGCCCAGGATTTCCAGGAGCCCTCTAGGAAAGCTGTTGTCTCATCTTCTTTATTACATGTGTTTTTAATGGTGGTGGGTTTTTACCTTTGTTATTGGTGTGAATCAACATAATTAAACAGCCAAAGCTATTTAACATACATCCCTAAATACTTAACTTACTACTAAAAGCATGGGTGGTAGAGGAAGCGGATTGGGTTACCAAATATGTCAGCACATTCTGGGATGGACATTACCATTGGCTCTTCCCTGAGGAAAAGGAGATGGATAAAATGAGACCTAGAAAGATGACATTGACTTCTCCATGGTTATCAAGCCAACAAGTGAAGGACTCTGGGAGGAAAAGGGGAAGGACCAATGGTAAGTCTAATCTTTGGGTGTGCTGGCACAATAGCCAATGTTCTATGCCTGGGACCAAAAGAAGAGCAAGAATCTGACTCATTAAATTATCAAAGGCGATTCTTCAAATTAGAAGACAAGCAATTTCATTCGAGACACCAAAATACAAAAAAAAATGGACACAGTCTAACAGCATAAAAGACTGATGCTGCTCACTCATGAGATGATTGCTCCATTTTGTGAATTTGATTGGAAGCAGTCTGAGATTTAATCCTCAAAGTATGTAAAAGTAATTAAAATTTCTGTTTAAAATTACGGGACAGAAAAATATGAGCCAAGTGTTTTATATATATCATCTTATTTTATCCTCCCAACAATCCTGTGAGGTAGGGACTATTAGTATCCCCATTTTACAGATCAGGAAACTAAGTCTGAAAGAAGCTAAGTGACCTGACCAGGGTCACACAATGAGTTGGTGAGCAAGGCAAGATTTGAACTCAGGTTTTCATGACTTTTAGGTCCAGCACTCTACTCATGGTGCCACTTGGCTGCATATCTTTAGGTTTTGTTCCTTTTAGCCCATCATAGTATTCATCAGTAAGTATACTTGGTAGAGCAGAAAGAATTGCCAGACTTGGAGTTGGAAGCCTTAGATTTGAATCTCAGCTCCCACACTTACTGCACGTGTAATTCTGGGAAAATGATTTCATCGCACCTCTCCTTGCTCCTTTTTGTGAAAAAGTAACTTGTAGCATTTATAAAGTACAATATAAGTATAAGCTAGTCTAATAAGGCAGCTAGGTGGCATAGTGGATAGAGCACTGGGCTGGGAATCAGGAAGACTCATCTTCCGGAGTTCAAACCTGGCCTCAGACACTTACTAGCCATGTGACCCTGGGCAAGTCACTTAACCCTGTTTACCTCAGTTTCCTTATCTATAAAATGAGCTGAAGAAGTAAATGGCAAACCACTCCAGTATCTTTGTCAAGAAAACCCCCAAATGGGGTCACGAAGAGTTGGATATTATTGAAACAATTGAACAACAATCTCTGTCTTATTTGGGCAGCTAGGTGGTGCAGTGGATAGAGTGTTGTCCCTGGAGTCAGGAGGACTTGAGTTCAAATCTGGTCTCAGACACTTATTAGCTGTGTGATCCTAGGCAAGTCACTTAACCCTGTTTGCCTCAGTTTCCTCATCTGGAAAATGAGCTGGAGGAGGAAATAGCAAATCATTCCAGTACCTTTGCTAGAAAACCCCAAATGGGGTCATAAAGAGTTGGACACAACTCAAAATGACTAAATAACAACAACAAAAGTATAGTGAAGCCAACTTATATGAAGCAGAGTATTCTAGATTTAAGTTTGATAATTCAGTAAGTTAAAATGAGTTATATATTATAATACATTGTTATTGTTCATCTTCCATTTTTTTTTTTTGGCAAGGCAATCAGGGTTAAGTGACTTGCCCAGTTCACAAAGCTAGTAAGTGTCAAGTGTCTGGTCTGAGACCAGATTTGAGCTCAGGTCATCCTGATTCCAGGGCCGGTGCTCTATCCACTGCACCACCTAGTTGCTCCTTCACCCTTCATTCTTGAAGAAGATCAATGACAGCATGAGTGTGATGTCTTGACTTATGCTCAAACTGGATTTAAATGAGGCAGGGCTGCTAACGTCCTCATTCTCTCCTCCTGAGTCATCAAAGTCCAGTGGCAACACAAATGTTAAGATGACTGGCAGTGGCCCAGGATGCACTGGGTGACCTTGGCCTCCCAGGTCTCAGTATGTCTGAGGCAATGCCCATTCAATAACAAAGGGCTAGGTAAGAACTGAGATTAAAGACTTTCTAATTTACCCTCATAAAAATATCAATCTGGGCAGGGAAGATCCTTAAGGTTTCTGGCCAGAACAGAAAACAATTGCTATTTACATTCATTCTAATATTCTGGGGTGAAATGGATCCAATTTATATTGGGACCTTAGTTTAAAATTTCCAGAATCTGAGAAAAGAAATACTGACAAGTTGGAAAGTAGGCATGAGGAGAAAACCGAAGATGGGAAAGAATATGCCCTCCTTGTTACTCACCAACTTAGCGGTGCCTACTTTAAAGGACTGCTGATGGATTGTCCAGGAGGATGCATCAAATACAATCACTTTGCCTTCACTTAAAGCACACCACAGTTTGGGATGAGCATCTTCAATCTTTTCTGCTGGATCAAGATGTCCTAAAAAAAGGAAATCGATCCAGAAACTTCAAGAGGAAATTATTATTGCAGTGCACACAAAATAAAAATGCTAAATGATTTCTCATAAGCAAATCTTTTAAGAGGTAGGAATCCATCAATTCCTCAAAAAATTCTTTTTTTTAATTAAAAAAGGCATAAATCAGGTTTCTCTTTTATTTTATTTCCCAAGTTTCTTTTTAAAATCTTGTTCATCACTAACAGAGAAAATGATTAGTCACAAGATAAAAAGAAACGCAGCTGTTAACATGATGGTGATTCTGCTTGGCCAGGCAGTTGTGGGTACATATGTTCTGCCATGTTCAATCAATCAACATTTGTTAAGCACCTACTACGTACCAGGCACTGTGTTAAGGGCAGAGGGATACAAAAAGAGGCAAAAGACAGTCCCTACCCTCAAGGAGCTTACAATCTTAATGGGGGAGACAACATGCAAACAAATATATACAAACAAGCTGTATACAGGATAAATAGGAAATTATTAACAGAGGTAAGGAACTAAAATTAAGAGGGGTTGGGAAAAGTTTCCTATGAAAGAATGGGATTTTAATTTGGACCTGGAGGTAAGTCGGTAGGTGGAGCTGGGGAGGAAGAACACTCCAGGCATGGGGGGATAGCAAGTGAAGATGCCCAGAGCCAAGAGATGGAGTATCTTATCTGTAGAACAGCCAGGAGGCCAGTGTCACTGGACTGATGAGTACACGTTGGGAGTAAGGTGTAAGAAGACTGGAAAGATAAGAGGGCTAGGTTATGAAGGGCTTTGGATGCCAGAGTATTTTACATTTGATCCTGGAGGCAAAAGGGAGTCACTGTAGTTTATTGAGTAGGAAGGAGTGACATGATCACACCTGCGATCTAGGAGAATCACTTTAGTGGCTGAATGAAGCATGAACTGGAGCAGGGAGAGAAGAAGAAAAGCAGAATTTGGGGTTGAAGAATCAAGAGTACACAAATGCATCATTTACCAGGGAAAGTTATCAGAAGTTAAAAAAAGAAAATGAAATGTGAGCGAGGGAAATCAGATTTAACACAATGGTAAAACTGGTCACTTGCAAAATTTAGGGCTAGAAAATAATCTAAAAAATCACCTAGTCCAATGTTTTATTTTGCAGATGAGGAAATTGGGTTAAAAAAATCAACTTTATGGGGAGAATATGGGGGAAGCATGTTTATCTGGACAGTTTATCTGGAAAAGCACTGGGAGTTTTAGTTGATCCTGTCAGACCAGTGAGTCAAATATAACAGCTGAGAAAGCTGATAAAACCTGTGGCTGCATTAAGAGAGGCAGAGTGTGCAGGACTATGGTGGTGATAACCTCAGCCCAGTCAGACCACATCTGGAGTACTGTGTTCAGTTCTGGGCATCACGTTTTAGGAACAACACTGATAAGCTGTAGAGGAGCCCGAGGAGAAATAACTTGGGTGGTAAAGAGTTTATGATCAAACCAGATGAGAATCAGTTAAGGAAATGAATGATGGTTAGCCTGGAAAAGAGAAGACTTGGCAAGATGTACTGGGAGGGACCAATCAAGTATATGACTGTGGTCATGTATTATTCTTCTTGGGCTGCTAGGTGGCGCCATAGTGCAGAGTGCTGGGCTTCAGCAGAAGGGCACATCTTCCTGAGTTCAAATCTGGCCCCAGACACTTACTAACTGTGTGACCCTGGGTAAGCCACTTAACTCTGTTTGCCTCAGTTTCTCATCTGTCAAATGAGCTGAAGAAGAAATGGCAAACCACTCCAGTATCTTGGCTAAGAAAACCCAAATGGGGTCAATGAAGAGTTGGACACAAGTGAAAACAACTGAACAACACAAGAAATGATTCTTCTTGGGAATAAGAAGGGAAAACTAAGAGCAGTGAATAGAAGCTGTAAAGGGACAAATATTAACTTGAAAGAATACTAACAATTAGAACTACCTAAAATAGGATCAGCTCCTTTAGGAGGTGGTGGGTTCCCCATAACTGGGGGTCATCAAGCAAAAGCCAAATGAATGACCACTTGGGTATGTCATAGAGAGGTTCTTATTTAGGCCCAGGTTGGATTACATCATGGAGTCTCAGCCCAGGAATTCTGGTGAAGTCTATGGCCCCCTTCTCAGAATAACGTTTCAAAATGCTTAAAATCAAATGCATAGAATTACAAAGGAAACCATTTATAGGGAAAATAAAGCAGTAATATTTCCCCATCTAAGCTCATGAATCTGTTGGGTCTGTGTACCCCAGATTAAGAACCCCTGGCCTAGATGGTCACTGAGGTCACTTCTAACTGTGACGTCCAGTGACTCGATAATCTTTTATAGCAGGATGGCACAAGGATTTGAATAGGTTTCCTTTCAAGTTGTTGGACACGGCACATATATGCAAAATGAGAGACAAAGCCACAATTTATAAAAGTGTCCGTGAATGCATGCACCTCGGGTACCATACTACACTTACATGGATTCTCACTCATTTCCTTCACCATCCTCCTCCTCCTCCTCATCACTTACATTTCATAGTGCTTTAAGGTTTAGAAAGCACTTCATAAATATTATCTCATGTGATCCCCACAACAACCCGGGGAAGTAGGTAGGTGCTATTATTATTCCCATTTTATAACTGAGGAAAGTGAGGCAGAAGTCCCCAGGGTCACAAAGATAGTAGGTACCTGAGGCCAAACTTGAACTCAGGTCTTCCTGACTCCAGGTCCAGTGCTCGATCTACTGCAACACCTAGCTGTTCCAATTCTCCTCCATTCTAAAAGCAACTTTAACTGAACACGACACCTGTCTTTCTGAACTACTTGTTCTATTTGAAAGAATCAACTTCTTGTGGATTGAAGGCTCAACTACTTGTCTATTTGAAGGAATGCATGTGCATTGCTTCAAATAAAAATAAAATATAAAGAAAAGAAAAGAAAAAGAAAAAGAAATACTCTTTTTGAAGTAAATTTAATTAACAGAAGGTAATATGCTCCTATGACTTTTCATGAAATTGACAACTAAAATGAAAAAAATCTTATTAAGGTGACAGCAAGAAGCACTGTGGTATTTATCACATGCAGAGGGCCAGCCTTCAGCAGCTCAACAGAAGGACGAACACTGGTCTTGGAGTGAGGCAATCTGCACATAAATTCCAGCTCTGCCGTTTATTCCCTGATACCATAGGAAACGTTTCATCTCTCTGAACTTTAGTTTACCCAACTTTAACGAGGGAAAGCAGGACCTATTGACATCTGAGGTCACTCCAGCCCTAAATCTAGGGTATTATGATACTAGGCATAAGTAAGTGGTTATTAAATGCCCACCATGTGGGCACAGAGGGCCTGTCCCACTGGAGCCAGACTGTGAGAAGCTTTAAATGCTAAGCAGAAGACTTGGCATTTTATCCTAGACAAAGGGAGACACTTTAGTGGGGAAGTCAAACGTTCAGACCTGTGTTTTAGGAACATCAATTTGGTGGTTGTGTGGATGTTGGCTTATAGAAAGGAGTAACTGGAAAGCAGAAGACTAGTTAGGAGATTATTGCTGAAGTCCAGGATTGAGTTAGGGGGATGGCCATGCTGCTGGGGATGCAATAAGTGTTGTGGACTCAGAATTGATACAACTTGATGCCTGATCGGTTATGGGAGATAAAGCAAAGGTCTTGAACTTGGGAGAATAGAAGGACGATGGTGCTCTCAACATGAATGGGGAAGTGAGGAGGAGGGGAAGGTTCATAGGGAAAGATGAGTTTTGTTTTGGATATGTTGATGCCTGTGAGATATATGGTGGAGAAGTATAGGAGACAGCCAGGGATGTCTCATGAAAGAGATGAGGACAGAATATGTAGATTTGGGAATCATCTTCATAGAGATGATAAAGGAACCAAAGGAAACTGATTGAATTACCAAGAGGGAGCATGCAGAGAAAAAAGAGAAGAGGAAAATCCATGTTTGGGGATGGAACACGGATGGTGAATCAGCACAGGAGAATAAAGAAGGAACAGTCAGATGAGTCAGAGGAGACACACAGAATAAAAATATGAATAAGCAGGACAGAGTATCCAGGAGGAAGGCTGATTAAATTGTCTCAAAAGACGCAGGGAAATAAAAAAAGGATGAGAACTGAGAAAAGGCCACTGAATCTAGCAATTAAGAGTTTGTAGGTACCTTTGGAAAGAGCAATTTCAGTTGAGTTGGCAGGGTTGTGAACCAGATTACAAGGTACTGAAACATGAGTGAGAAGCAATGAAGTGGAGGGAATGAGTGTAGATAGCTATTTTTTTAGGTGTTTGCTTAAAAATCAGGAAAAATACAAAAGAGGATATAGAAGGACAGCTTAAGGCAATGGAAGATTCAAATGATAGTTTTTTAAAGATGGAGTGTAGGGGGAATCTGGGCATGTTTTCAGTCAGCAAGGAAGGAGCCAGTGAAAAAGACACTCAAGGTAGTTAAAAAAAAAAAAGTGGAGATGATCGAGGGATGATCAGAGCTCCCAGAGAAGATGGGAGAGGATGGCATCAATTTTACAGGGAGATCCATTCCGCACTGTTACATGACATTGTTCAGTAATATTCAGCAGCATGCAAGGAAAAGCAGAGGAAGTACATGGTGAGAGTGGTGTATGGAAAAGCATGAGCAGCAGTGGGCTAGGAGACAAGGCATTTAAAGGGAGGCATCAGTGTAAAGCTGACTTGGTTAACTACAGGGTCAAGAATGTAAAGTGAGGAAACTGAAGTCAAAACAGAGGTGACAGACTGGAAAGTTGGCAAGGATAGAGTGACTAGAGGTCGCAATAACCATGACAAATAGTTTTAGGATGAATGAAGAAGAAGAGAGGGACAGAGGGGAAGATAAGAAGTTGAGAGAAGCTTTTCAGAGTTTTGGATCATGTAGGCTGAATAGTGATGGGTGATGGTGAGACCAAAGGTATGATCATTTCTGTGCCTGGCTGGGGTGGAATGAAGGGAAGGCTGATGAAGTGGTAGGTCAGGATGCTTGAGGGCACATCAACATGTACAGTGATGTCCCAGACAGCGTGGAAAAGAAGAATGAGCCAGGGGCTGAACTTGAGAAGGTCAGGGGAAGACTAATCCAAGGGTCAGCAGACTAAAACAACCAAGATACGGGCAGGATGATACAGATAAACGTGAGCTATTGTCATCATTATTACAGATAAAATGAATATCAAAGGAGGAAAAGTTGCTGACTGATGTCAGCTAAAGGAGACTTTGGAAGTGGCGGGGGAATAATGAGCATCCCAACTCTTCCTTCTGGCCAATGGGTCAGGATTTTTAAGAGAGAAGAAGCAACTAGGACTGGAGAAAGTGCCTAAGGCTGCAGTGTCTTCTGTGAGGAGACAGGTTTTAACGATTGCAAGAAGATGGAAGAAGTAGGATATACAGAGAGGCAGGAACATCTTCCTCCAGAACAGACAGCCCTGCCCATGTTTATACAACTTTTTTCCAACTCTCCATCTCACCCCAAGGTTGCCCTTAACTTAAAATATAAACTAATGTTTGTTTAAAAATGCCAACCTCCCCTACCTCCCCCCTCCCGCCACACCCAACTCACCTGGTGTGTATAACAAGATATCTATGGCTTGTGGGCAAGTTTCTCCTAAGGAGGGATTTATTTTATGCTTCAATGTTTCTGAAGTTGTTTTTGGGACTGACATAGGCACTAAAATAGACAAAGCAAATGGTTTGAAAATTAGTTAAGTTTGCAAGAAGGGTATTTATTAATCACCTACTACATATGTGCAAGGCATGATGCTAGCTGCAGAGTACACAAAATCAAGGGAGGTGGCATTCTTTCTAGGGAAGACAAAACGTATACAGATAAGTTTATGAAAAATGATACAAAGTAATTTTGAGAAGGAGAGCACTCACTTGGGGGAATTGGTAAAGGCCCCCTGTAATACATAGGACTTAAGCTAAACTGTGAAGGATAATCCAATGATCTCATGATTTCTTCTTTCTCTACTGAACTACACTTTTTTTTTGTGGGGAGAAGAGAGGCAGGAAATTTGCTAAAAGGTCATATAATATTTGTATAGGAATAATTTGCATTATATATTATGTTACAATATTAATAATGTGTACTATAATTAATAATCCCAATATATGAGGGATTAGAAAGAATTGTATTTTATATTATGAAAAAGAATTGTATTTTATATTATGAAAAAGGCAGCTTAGGTGGCTCAGTGGCTAGAGTGCTGGGCTTGGAGTCAGGAAGACCTGAATTTAAATCTAGCCTCATACTAGCTGTGTGACCCTGGGCAAGTCACTTAACCTCTATGCCTAATCTATTTGCCAAGAAAACTCCACATGGTGGCATTTAGAGTCAGACATGACTTAACAAATGAACAACAACAACAGCAACAATTTCATAAAGTATCTAGCATTTATATAGTGGTCTAAGGTTTGCAAAATGCTTTATATACATTATCTCATTCAATCCCCACAATAACCCGGTGAAGTAGGTACTGCTATTATCCCCATTTTACAGATAAGGAAACTGAGGCAAACAGAGGTGAGATGACTTGCCCAGGATCACATAGCTAGTAAAGTGTCTGAGGAAGGATATGAACTCAGGTTATATATGATGACATGAACTCAGGTCTTCCTGATTTCCAGGCTCAGTGCTCTATCCACTGAGCCACCTAGCTGCCCAACACACACACACACACACACACACACACACACACTCACTCTCTCTCCTCCCTCTCTCTCTCTCTCTCTCTCTCTCTCTCTCTCTCTCTCTCTCTCTCTCTCTGTCAGGTTTAACAATCTAGGAAGATTCTCCATCATGTCATAGATTCATGCCTCAGGAATATAACAAACTTTCTATTGCTAAGTCCAGTTAAAAAACGGTTGCCTCGGCACCCTTCAGAAGAGAATCCCCAGTCACCACTCTCTGATCACTCTGACCCTTATGAGATGACCTCTTTGGTGATAGCACCTATGGATTTATTACTTGAAGGAAGTCCCAGAACCCTCTTCTTTAGGAAGTATGTTCTACTACTACTCTGTTCTGCGTGTTAAAGGAGGCCTCTTTCCCTTCTCTTCTGCCATATCTCTTTCTTCCTGACACAGGGCAGGACCCCCTTCTTCACTTTGTTTTTTACCTTGAAGCCCTGATTCTACTCCTTAAAGGAACATTTTATTCTCCCTGATGGCCTGGAGAGTGAAGCCTTGTTCCTCTCCTTCTCCTACAGAAAGAAGACCTTCCTGCACTTTGGGTACAAGTGGTAGTCACTTGATGAGCATAAAAATAACTATCTCATGCACATGCTATGCACGTCATTGCAAAATTCTCTGGGTCCTGCTGGAAATGAGATTTCCAGTGCTGAATCTTGAGAATTCCTGTGGTCAGCCCTCATGGCAAATCGTTCCAGCAAATCAGGACAGTCTTTAAAGAGTTAACTGTAGGTTTTAAAAAAGAAACAATTTCTATTCCTATTTTCTAGCTGAATTTGCTAATTTGCCTTGTTCATTGTACACCGATAGCTGTACAAAAAACAAAGAAGATTTTTCAGCGGATCATTTCACAAATGAGCAATAATAGCAAGTAAACTGCACACAAAATAAAGAACAAGACATTAAATTAATTCTAAAGGAAAAATAATCCCCCCTAACTTCAAAACCCCCTCCATTTAAACAATCCCTAGAAAAGATTTGAGACAATCAGGGCAATGATTTTGAATGATATAACAAAATGCCCATTAGATTAGAAACAGGATTGAATATTGCTATTCCAAAAATATTAATCTTACTTTCAGTCTTCATCTTATCAAAATAAGATAATTTGGAGGCAGCATAAATGGCATTCGGTGACTGAAGTGCACCAACCACAGCATCCATTAGCAGAACATTGGTCAGTGCTTGCTGGATATATTGGGGATCCTAGAAGAGAAAGAACCAGCAAATCAATGTCAAATTATTCATCTGTTTAAGGGTGGCAGTGCTGCATGAGGATGAGTCATTATTATTAGTAACCCACACAACCTTCCCATAACCAACATTAATTTGTAATACCATTGTTAAAAACATAATAACGAGGGTGGTGGTAGGAGGTCAACATGGATAGCATATCTAAACATGACTATGATAGAAAAACAAAAGGCATAAATAAAATTCTAATAATAATAATAATAATAAAAGCAATGACAATAGTCAGTATTCATATAAGGTTTTCAAATTTACAAAGCACTTTACATATGTTGTCTCAGTTGATCCTCACAAGATTAACCCCTGTGAGGTAAATGCGATTATCATTCCCTTTTTACAGATGACAAAACTGAGGCAGACAGAGGTTAGACAGTTTGTCCAGCATCACACAACCACTAAGTATCAGAGGCAGGATTCAAACTCTGGTCTTCCTGACTCCAAATCTAGCACTTACATTCATTCTGCTCAATCCTGCTGTAAGGTTAGGCCAATTAAAACCAATTAAAACCTATTCAGTTCAGTCCTTACACTACCTGCCACGTGGCCGACCCTCCCCAAATATTTTCTTTTTCTTTTGTTTCTTTAATTAATTTTTAGCTTTCAACACTCATTTCCATAAGCTTTTGAGTTTTCAATTTTCTCCCCCTTCCCACTTCCCAAGACAATGTGATATAGGCTCTACATACACATTCATATTAATCCAATTACTTTCATTCAACACAGCCTAGGTACCCTACCTCCCTCCTCTGTTCAGATAAATTCTTCTGGAATTAAGTATCTCCAGTAATGCTGTAAGCGACTTGAGGACAGGTTTATTATTTTGTCTTCTTTATCTCTGCCCCCCATGCCTTACACATAGTAGGTGTTTAATATATGCTTCTTGAAATGAAGATGTTTTTACAGAAACAATTAATAATATATTTCTATTTTTAAGGCATTAAAATAACATAGACTGAAATGTCCTATGCATTTGAGATTTTTGTATAGATTTTTTTCTTACTCTAAACTCAATACAGCCTACACTAATGAAAAAGAAAACACGTAACATAGTTAATAAAACCAAATGGATAACTTCCCAGCCGGATTGGAAGGTCACAGAGTCACAGAATTGTGAGATTCTTAGTACTCTCTCCTTCCTTTTCTGCCTCTCTACCTCCATCCCTACAGAAGCAGAAAAAGGGCTACAAGATAGGTGCCATTTTGTGGTTTTGTCCAGTTCATGCATAGCTGTAGCCAGAAATGTCATTACTTGATCAAGTACCTCTTTGTGCTTAGCTGGAACCACAGGCACACTTTTGAACCTAGGCACACACTCAAAGCCTTTCCCATGTGGTGGGGTCCACTTGAGCTTATTTTTGGTTGATTTCACTGGGTCACTTCCATGCCATGAGGAGGCATCAGAATAATAGGGAAAGGATGTAGTTGTGTATTGTTGGAAATAGTAACCAAGCTGCAGAAACCACATGTATAACATACCACAAGTCAAAAGATAGTTTTATACATTTAGTTGGAAAAAAGTAGACTAACAAATGTTAAAAGTATATGTATGGGGGGCAGCTAGGTGGCGCATGAATAAAGCTCCAGTCTTGAAGTCAGGAGGACCTGAGTTAAAATCCAGCCTCAGACACTTGACACTTAACTAGCTGTGTGACCGTGGGCAAGTGACTTAACCCCAATTGCCTCACAAAAAAAAAGTATATGTATGGGCAATTAATAGATTTGGGCATACAGTATGTTTCAGTGCAAACCTCAATGATTAGGTCTTTTAGAATGGGCCCAACACTGTGGACTGAAAAAACTTTTTTTTTCTCTTTTTTTTCCTTTTTGGTGAGGCAATCAGGGTTAAGTGACTTGCCCAGGGTCACACAGCTAGCAAGTGTCAAGTGTCTGAGGGCAGATTTGAACTAAGGTCCTCCTGACTCCAAGGCCAGAGCTCTATCTACTGTGCCACCTAGCTGCCCAACTGAAAAAAACTTTTAAGATTTTACCAATTATTTTAAGTGTTTACAGCCACCTCAAGGGAGAGAGGAATAAAAATAAAAAATAAAAAAATCTCAGATGAGATCTATTCTTGGTTGGCCAAAGCCAACACAGTCGAGCTTCTTTGTAACTTCTCCCTCTTACCCAGAACTAGAGCAATGGCAGCCACATGAGATAGTTATCCACCCAAGCGCTACCAAGTCTTTTTTTGGAGACAGACGGGCAATATGGTCTTTTCAAGATTTTGATAATTAAGACCTCACTGGACCTAATGCAGAAACAGCTTGGTTATCTGCAGGAGACTGCAATGTGGACATCAGGTTCAAATGACTGTATTTTATGGGACCAGTGCCTAAGAGCTCAGCAGTTTGACATTCTGGCAAAAGAAATTGATGTGATGAGATCAGCATTGATGAAAAGAAACAGACAAATAAACAATTCAACCTCAACTTCTCTGACCTTATAATCATCAGCCATTTTCTTCCCAGCCCACATCTCCTTCACCATCAGGTGCCAAAGATCACACTCTGTTTTAAGATTAGCTTCAAAGACTTCCTTTTTGGAAACAGTTTTAATTTTTAGAGTGGGTATCCTCAGAACCAGAAAGGCTACAGTTGTACTTTTCACTTCCTGTAATCAAAAGGGAAAGGAAAAAAGGTGGATTATAGACTTCCATTATTGTTGTTTAGTCAATTAGTGGTGTCGGCTCCTCATCACCTCATTTGGGGTTTTCTTGGCAAAGATGCTGGAGTGGTTTGCCATTTTCTTCTCCAGTTCACTTACAGATGGGGAAATTGAGGCAAACAGGGTTAAGTGACTTGCCCACGGTCATACAACTAGGAAGTATCTGAGGCTGAATGTGAACTCAGGTCCTCTTGACTGCAGGGCTGGTATTCTATCCACTTCATCACTCAGCTGCTCCATAGACTTCCAAAGCACCTCCCTTCATCCCCCAAAATCTCCAAGATAAAACCAAACCTTTACCAATTTAAACTAAATGGAGAAGAAAGTAAATTGAATTTTTGTTTGAATTAAAGAATATTCTTAAAGATTGCAGTGTTGCCATCTGTTAATTAATACATACTTGAAGGGTGGCCAAAGAGTTCATAGATTCTACAACTGGAAAGAACTTCAGAGGTCATTTAGCCCAGCTCTTTCATTTTACTGATGAGGAAACTGAGCTCCAGAGAGGTCAAGAGATATGCTGAGGTAACAGCTGGTTAGGGGCATGGCTGGGAGTAGCATCATTTGAGAGCTGCTTTAATAAGCAGGGGAAAATTACAATTAGGAGCATACCAGTTGTTAGCACATAATTGATTTCTTAGAAAGCTTTTTAAAAGAGTTTAGTTTCTTAAGTACTTAAATACTTCTTAAGATTTCTAGCAGGAGGTTTGGGAAGACTGGTCTCTGAGGTCTCTTTCAGTTCTAGATCCTATGATAATAATAATAATAACAACAACAACAACAACAAAATATTAAGGATTTGCATAGCACTTTAAGGTTCACAGAGTGCTTTGTAGATATTATTTCATTTTAGAATCACAATAACCCTGTGAGGTTGGTGCTATTATTATCCCCATTTTACAGTTGAGAAAACTGAGGCAGACAAAGGTTAAGTGACTTGCCCAGGTTCACACAGTTAGGAAGCATCTGAGGCCAGATTTGAATTCAGTCTTCCTGACTCAGGCCCAGAGCTTTATTTATCCACTGTGGCTAATTATACAAGTAGTATAAAGTTTCCCATTTCCTAGACAGAAAAAAAATAATTAGTTTTTGAATAAACTTTGAATTTAAAAGACAACTGTTAAACAAAGAATTAAGCTTGCATGCTAGAAATATAAATAGTAATAGTAACACTTAAATATGCTAAAAACTAATACCAGTAGCTAGCACTGATATTGCACTTTAAGGTTTATAAGTAAATTTCCATATATTATCTCTTTTGATTCTCACAACAACTCTGGGAAGTAGGAGTTATTATCATCATCCCCTTTTTACTGAAGAGGAAACTGAGGCAGCAGAGGTTAAGTGATTTGCCCGAGGGTCACACATTTAGTAAGTATCTGAAGCAAAATTTGAACTTAGGGTCTTCCTGAATCCAAGCCTAGAATTCTAGCTATTATTCCACTTAGCTGCTGATTTCACACTTTGACATAAAGTTGTTTCTTCTGATAAGCCTCACCAGAGATCAATGCCCTGACCACTTCATATCAACCAACCTGAAACCAAGAGTCTTGGCAATGGCAGTGACCACCAAACCGCCAGACCTGCTTCCAGTCCAGCTTACACAGTCATCACTGAGGAGTGGCCCACCTTCCTCACCCCCACCAGCAACAACTGCTGAATGAACACCAACAGGTAGATGAACAGCAGAGCCATGTAAATGGCAGCACTGTTCCTCTCCAACCTTGCCCCCAAACCACCAGTCCTGCATCTAGACAGGCCTTACAGTCATCCTCTGGTGGAGTAAATCCTGAGGACAAGGGAGCAGCCATGCTTACTGACTACCACTCAAAAGGCAAGCAAGCTGGCCTACCCGAAGCAGCAAGCCACACTGAGAGAGATAAGGCAGGCAGCGTGGGCCTGGCAAATCAGAAAGACGTCATGACCACGTCCACCATCTCCCCTCAGACCTAGATGGAGAAAGCACAGGGCCTTGAACCTGACAGCTTAGGGAACAGCAACATTTCCAGCCAAGGAAGCACCTAGAGATGCAGCCTGGCTACTGTTCCTGTAGCTGCTAAAGTCACATCTATCAAAGACCCAGAGAAGAGAATTCCAGTCACCAAAGTCCTTGGCAATGTCAAATGGTTCAACATCAGAAACTGATATCGTTTTATCAGTGGAAATTACATTAAAGAAGAGGCATGACCATCTCCTTTGATGTTGTGCCCTTAAGCTCATGGGACCCCTTCATCTGAATTGTAGTTGAAACCTTCCATATGTATTGTCTCCCCTACTAGAATGTGAGCCCCTTGAGACCAGGGACTGTCCTATTTTCCCATGTGTATTCCCGGCACTTAGCATAGTGCTTTGTATATAGTAAGGACTTAATAAATGGCTCTTTAAGGTGTGTGGGGGGGGTGGAGAGGTGATGCTTAAGAGTTCAACCTCTAGCTCAGACCTCTCTTAGACACCAATAGAGAGAATCTTAGTCTCAAAGGCCCTTGGGTTTCTTCCATATTCCCCAACTCTCTTGGATTAGCTGGTCTCATCTATCTGAGAGGAGAACCCACCTCTGTAGGAAGGACTCCTTGAAGGAACCTAGGGAAAGCTACAGCATCATCACAGAATCATTAGGATCACAGATTTAGAGCTAAAAGAGATCTTAAGATGTCAAGTGCCATCTCCTCATTTTATTATTGAGGAAACTGTAGCCCAGACGGCTGGGGACTTTACCAAGCATCTCACAGCCAGTAAGTATATGAGGAAGGACATGAACTTAGGTCTTCCTGACTCTAAGTACTCTATCCATTGTGCCAACTACTACTAAAGGAAGATCCCCAGCACTACTTCTTCATACCTCAACTGGAAGTCTCATCCACCACTGAAAGAGTCTGGTGGTGACCACGTTCATATTTGAAGAACTTCTTTGGGGCAGCTGCCATAGTCATCTCAAGGACCCTCCTCCTTGACTGCTGCTATGAGGGAAGGGTTTAGGATCTGCGAAAATCAACTGGGGGCTATGGGAAGTAAGGAAGACTCCTAGTGAGTAAGGTTCTTCTGGATGTTAGGAAGAGAGTTAGCCCCGGCTAAACAGAGCATCTTCCTGTCCTGAACCTTAAGCAGCACTCATTTAAAAAATATTATATTTAAAAAATATTTTTTAAAAAGTATTAAAAAATAATTAATTTTTAAAAATAGTTTATTTTTCCCCAGTTACATGTAAAGACAATTTTTAATACTCATTTAAAAAAATTTTTGATTCCAAATTTTTTCTTTCCCTGCTTCACCTCCCCCCTCCCTGAGAAAGGAAGTAATTTGATATAGGTTATCCATGTTCAATCATCTAGCACTCACTTTCATGAAGTGAAGGTGCCCCCTCTGCCTCGACTCAAGTTCCCCCCATCTCCTTGTGGTCATGGTTCTGTACTGTGATCAATTTTTTGACAAGTTCAAGTAAGACACTGGACTTATTCTCACACTAAGACAAGATGACAAGGTTACAATGACTTCCTCCTTACCTCGATATTTCTGAAGGTGGAAATTTCCACGTAGCCTCCTTCTGTAAGGAGGAACAAGCGCTTCTGAGTCATTGCTATCTTCCCCACTCCAAAGTTTGTTTTGACTGAGCTTGACAGTTTGTAGACACATTCATTTTTATCTAGGTGCTCGATGACCTCATGTGGAAGATTGACTTCTTGGGCCTCTGCCTCTGTCTCTTTCCAGTAGTTGTAGAAATCTCTGAATGTTTCAGGGTCAATTTGCTTCTGGTGCCCTTCATTTCAAAGAGAAGTCCCTCTTAAAATTAGAGCCATGATGACATTCTATGAAACCCAAAACTTCCATGGAACCTTACCAAAACAGCAAGATAATGTTCTAGTCAATCTAGTTCTATGAAAATGACATCTCTAAACGTTCTAGGCCAGGTCCTTAACCTGGACCCACGAACCTTCAAGTTCTATGAGAATGACATCTCTAAATGTTCTAGGTCAGGTAGTTAACCTGGGGCCATGCACCCTCAAATCAGTAGTTCTTTGAGGATGACGTCACTACAAAGGGCCTAGAATGGCCAGTAGTTGAGTCTATGTACTCTCAAGTCAGTAATTCTATACACGAATGCCATTGATAAATGTTGCAGGCCCAGTCCTTAGTTTGAGTCTACAGACCTTTAAGTTTATTTGATCTGAAAGTGACATCTCTAAATATTCCAGGCCACGGGTTCTTAACCTGGGGTCCACAGACCTGATAGATTTCAGGGGAGAGGAGGAGGAAGTCTGCAAACTTGGATGGGAAAAAATAATATTTTTATTTCAATATACTTGGTTTGCTTTGTAATTCTATGTATTTTGTTTTATGCATTTAAAACTCTTATTCTGAGGAGTCCATAGGCTTCACCAGATTGCCAAAGGGGTCCATGATGAAAAAAAAAAGGTTACGAATCCCTGCTCTTCTGCTCTAGGCTCTAGTGAAGAGCTGAGACGGCCTGTGCATAGGGCTGGAAAGAGTAACAAGATTAAATCTCTGAGCACACAGATATAGGAGTCAATTAGAAGCTGAATGCATGTTTCACATGTGGGATCTGGATGTATTTCATAGCCTGTGTTCTTTGGATGAGGCAATGGAACTGGCCCCAAGGGTGAGTTCTTTCAGGACCTGATCACCAGCAGAATGTACAAGGAGCTATCATGCTGCTTAAGGCTGAACTGGACCCATGTTGGCAGAGAACAGATCAAAGCTTCTGTGCTAATCAGTCCCTGCATTTCCATTCTGAGCAAATATAAAAACAAAATAAAACATTAAAGTAAAAAGATATATACAGAGGATGAAATCAAGTATAGATAAAAGGACAAATTTTAAAATGTGGAACGATCCTATAAGAATAATGCTAAAGTATAGCATAAGTTGAGATTGGCTAGGAAAGCTAAAGATAACAAAATGATGGGGGTTTTTGTTGCTTTATCTTGGAGAAGAGGAGGATCAACGTAGAGATAAGACAACTGATCAGGGTTGATGGGATGATAACTGATGACAGACAGCAGAGCTGCTCAGCTCGAATTTTGCTAGTTTGCTTGGGCCAAGGGAGAAAAAAAAAAGAACAAAAAGACAGATAGGGAGTTTATAAATAAGAAAATTGAGAAGAGAGTAAGGGACCACCTAGCTGTCCCTGATAAGAGCAATTCACCTAGCCCAGATATACTACACTACTGTGTGCTAAAAGAATCAGCACATATCAATGCTGAGTAACTAAACAAGTGAACATAGAGAATATGGAAGGCATCATGGGACTTGAAAAGCGCAAATACTGCCAATTTTAATAACAATAAGATAATGGAGTTCCGACCTTGATGCTTGGCCAAAATCTAGAATATATTACTAAAGGGATGATTAATGGACATCTAGAAAAGGAAACAGTAATTACAAAGAGCCAGTGTGACTTACTTGAGAACAAGTCATGCAAAAAAAAAAAAAAAAACTTTGAAAGATTTTGATCAACATAAGGACAAACTATGATTGCAGAGGATTTGTGATTAAGCATGCCACTACCCATCTAAAGAAAGAGAGGTGATAGACTCAGAATGCAGAAAGAGGAATAGCTATTTTTTTATATAGCTATTACAGGAATTTGTTTTGTTTGACTATACATGTTCATAATGGGTTTTGTTTTCTTACTTTTTTTTTTTTTGGCTAGGCAATGGGGTTAAGTGACTTGCCCAGGGTCACACAGCTACTAAGTATTATGTGTCTGAGGTCAGATTTGAACTCAGCTCCTCCTGACTCCAGGGCCGGTGCTCTATCCACTGTGCCACCTAGCTGCCCCATTTTCTTACTTTCTTAATGGTGGGAAAGGAAAAGTGGTAGGGAAAAAATTTGGAGCTAAAAATAAAACTTAATTTTAAAAAAATAACAAGTCACAACAGACTAACTTTATTACCCCTTTCTGTCTGTACTTCTAATTTTGGAAGATCAGGGAAATGCTGCAGATCTTAGTAAAGCACCTAACAAAGTCTTTCATGGTATGCTTTTGAAAAAGATGGAAAAATGTGGGCTAGATAGATATAGAATGAGTTGAATGGCCAGCCTCAAGGGGAAATTACTTGTGCAACATCAGGTTGGAAGATAGTCTTTAGTGAAGTGTTCCAGATTCTGTGCTGGATAGTGTCATTTAACATTTTTATCAATAACTTGGAAAAAAGCAAAGACGAGGTCCTTAACAGATTTGCAGATAACAGCAACCTAGGAAAAATAGCTAACACATTGGATGACAGGGTCCTGATTCAACAAATTTTTGTTGATAGGACAGAATACTGGGCCAATTCTAAAAAATTAAAAGTTTGATGAAATAAGTATAAAGGCCTATACTAGTGTTCAAAAAATCCCAATGAATCAACATGCATTTATTAAGTATCTACTATGTTCCAGGCATTGTTCTAGAAACTAGAGATATAAAAGTAAAAAAGAAACAATTCCTTCTCTTAAGGAGTCTACAATCTAGCCAGTGCAGTTAGACTGTAGTATATGTAGGATATGAAGGGAAGAAATACATAGTAAGGCTAGAAAGGTAAATGGAAGCCATCTGATCCTAGAGGCAATAAGACATTAGTGGAGTTTATATAGCAGAGAGCCAACACAGTCAGATCTGTACTTCAGGAAAATCAGTCTGGCAGCTATGTGGAGGATGGATTGGAGAGAGGGTAAGACAAGGCAAGAAGAACAGAGAGTTAAGGAATTAATTAGGTTAAGGAATCAGGAGGTCAGTTGAGTATTTCAACAGTCGAGGCAAGAGACGATAGGGACCTGAATAACGACAGTGACCAAGTGAGTAAAGAGAAAGAGGAATATGAAAGAGATGTAGATGAAGGAAAAAAAAAGATTTGGCAACTAATTGGATACATGGGACCAGGGAGAGTGAAAAGGTTGTGAACGTGGGTGGCTGGAAGGATAGTAGTGCCCTTGACAGAAATAGGGACGTTTGAAAGAGGAGTGAGCATTGGGGGAAAGATAATGAGTTGTTTTGGACATATTGAGTTTGAAATGTCTCTGAGACATTCAGTTAAAAATGCCTAATGGGCAGGTGGTGATGTGGAATTAGAGTTCAGAAAACAGATCAGGACTGGATGCATAGCCCTAGTCATTATATTGGGAATTAGAAGACCTAGGTTTAAATCCTGGTTCTGCCATTTACTACCTGTGTGAGCTTGGGGAAACCAATGAAATGATCTGGACCTCAGTTTTCTCAATCATACAAAAAGGAATTCAACTAAACAGAAGTTCCTTTCCATCCCTAAAATCTATGATTCTAAAAATTTTGGAAAGATCAGTTTCAGTTGAGTGATGATGCCAAAGCCAGATTGCAAGGGGTTTGAAGAAGTGTTCTTAAGTTTTTGAACTTAAGAAGTGTTTGAAGAAACACAGCATTCTTAATGAAAATATACGGAAGTTTTAGAGGACTACAAGCTTAGTGTAACTCAAAAGTGTGCTAAAATAGAAAGTTAATGCAAGCTTAGTCTACACTGAGAGACAGAGCATTCAAGAATAAGGAAGTAACAGTACCATTTGTACTCTCCTTGAGTCAGACCCTACCTGAAGTATTAAGTTCAGCTCTGGGTAACACATTTGAAGAAACACATTAATAAATTGGTGACCACTGAAGGAAGGTAATAACCGGGGTAAGGAGCCTTGAGTTTATAACATCTGAGGACTGAATGAATGAATTGAGAATATTTAGCCTGGAAGGGGAAAATTCAGGGTGAACATGACAGCTGTCTTCAAGTCTCTGAAGGGCTATCACATATAAGAGCAATTAGACTTGGACAGAACAAACAGCAGAACTGGGGATGATGGGTGAAGGTTACAGAGAGGCAAATTTAATCTTGATATTAGGAAAAACTTCCTAATGATTACAATTATCCCGAAGTGTAATGGTCTACCTCTGTAAGTGTTGGATCCTTCCTTCTATCCCAACCAACTTGAGGTCTTCAAACTAGGACTGGATGACCCTTTCTTGGCTATGATATAGAGGGAGATTCTTTTTTGAGGTATGGGTTGGATTAGATGGCTACTAAGTATCTTTCAAATCTGAGATTCTGTATGTGATTCTACATTGACCAACCTAGGTACCTAACTTTATCTCTTTGCCGACTTCAACCCTTTCCTATCTCCCACCCTGAGTTTCCAAGAATTTGGACAGAAAACAGTACTACCCCTGAAAAAAGGTTATCATAGGACAGTGGAATTAGGGGCTTTAGCCAAGTGGTACTTACTCAGTCCCATGACTAGAAAATGAACCTATTCCTTCTCCAATCTAGGTGATTCAAACCTGCCAGCTGCTGAGGCAAAACTTCCTTTCCCTCCTACAACTCTGTTCTCTCATGTCATATCTAGATCAACTATAATCCACAGTCTCTGCTCTCCTCTGACTTTTGTGTGTGTGTGTGTGTGTGTGTGCGCGCGCGCGCGCGCATGTGCCAAGACACTGTTAAACTCCCTTTCATCCTGAGCATCATTTTATTTTCTTTTGCTTATGGTCACTCTTTGTTGTTTATCAAAGAAAAAGGTTCTCCTGGTTCACAGTCTTTTTCTTTACCCCAACCTGTGGGTCATACCTGGGGATTTCAAAATAAAACCCATGCTAAACATCCTTTAAACTCCCTGACCTTCAATTCATCAACTTTCTCACTATCCATGACCTACAAACTCCAATCTACGTTGGCTACCTAAAAGGTTGATCATACTTACACATTCCCATTAAACATCACTTCCCTGATCCTTAACTCT